TCTCTCTCTCTCTCTCTCTCTCTCTCTCTCTCTCTCTCTCCCCTCCCCCCCCCCCTGGCCCTGTAATTCTTGTGCATGTTCTTGCTTGTCTTAAATTTGCTGCTCCCATACTTGAGAAGCACCCTTCTCCATTTTCTGCTTCAGTTACTTTTTTTTGTATAACATTATATTTATTAGTTACTTCAGCATTTCTGGGATCCTTTTAAAAGGAAAAAAAAGGATGACCACCACCACCAATAACCACATGCAACACAACTATGTTTCTGGGTAATTCTCTGTTTTTTCTTCTTCTTTTTTTTTTCCTGCCAAGATATGCATTCAATAAAATTACGTCTTCAGGTAATTCTTTTTCAATATCCAGATCTCTCAATCTTAATAGTTAATATTATTTTGCAGTATGGAAACAAAAATATAAAAAGATTACATGTTTTACCATGAAAAGCTTCTTTTAGCAGTTGTTGATAACCATAGGAATGTAGTATAGGATGTACATCGAATTTAAAGATGCAATAGATGGGAACATACAGAAGAGAGATATCATGGGAGTAGAAAACTGCCCAAAAACAAATACATATGCACTGCAGATGTCATCAGTAGAACAGGTACAGTAAGGCATCTGATTATCAATACCAAAAATAAAACTCAGACAAGTATCAAAGATTTTAGAATCTGATCAACATTTTGGTATCTGAAACAAAAATCAACACAACTGCTTATTATCATCTCTGCATTCAGATCCATGAACTGTTGGATTGTGTGCTAATGTATGTCCTATTTTATGGAATAGACACCTGTACAGGTAACAAAGAAGCAAGAAGCCATCTTCTTTATTTGCATTGGCAAAAGAATGTTTAGGCCCATCTACTTGCCATAAGACCTTCACAACAAATAGATGCAGAAGCAGTTATGCTTAGAGTAGATTAATCCAAATTATACTCCCGAACTTTTTCATGAACAAGAACCAGATATCATCCAAAAAGTGCGTTTACTGTTCAATAATCGATAGAATATTAGTCTTGACATAGAACAGAGAGAAAAGACACAAGACAACTGTTATCTTCTCCGTTAAATTTTCATCATATGATCATCTAACTGCACTAAAACGGAGGCCAATCACAGTATCAGATCTCATACTGATGAAAAGAACATGTGTTTAAGGCATGGAATTCAATGGGCAAAAAGAAACAAAAGATTCATAATTACCTTCATAAAAAGACCCCGGCTAGCATCACACGAGGGGTTTGTTGTTGAGTTAGTGCCATACAAGCTATTATTGAACAACCCAGGTGGTCCACTAATACCACCCACATCCCCATCTTTCATAACAGTAACTTCTCGAGCAACTTGAGAGATACCATGATCTTGCCAACCTTTAGTACTTTTAGTAATGTGGGATACTTCGGAGGATTGCCCAGAAAAATCATTAATCTGATCTTCCGGCAATCGCAAATCTTTCTTCAACTCTCTTGCAGAGGAAACAAAGGAGGGTTCGTCTATTGAAAGCCCTGAAACAGAATTTGGAACAAGATTAGATCTTTTATATTGGATCTAGAATAAAATTTTACTTTGTTTGATTAAACCAACCTCCAGAACTAGGAATTCCAAATCTGGGATGTGATGGACCACCTTTAGATTGCCCAAAAGCATCAACACCTGAAGAAACTTCTCCTTCTTCCATGTGCATCATAGATTGAGCCCCCATTTTTGAGCCTGCTTTTACTTTAACAGCAGCTTTTTCAGGGATGAAACCTGGCATATCATCGGGCTTGCCCCTTAATGCATAAGAGTCGATGCCACTCGAAAAAGACGAGATCTGATTCAACTGATCATTGTGTTGCCCAAAACTGATCAGACGAGCTTGTTCATCACCTTTAATCATAATCTGGCCTTGCATATCGCCCTGGTTAACAATCTTCCCCTTCTTTAAACTTGGGCCCATAGAGCATGGAGCATTTCTCTGTTGTGAATTTTCTAAGTATCCCTCATTTGGATTCAGCCCAGAATCCCCTCTCCTTCTCTTAGCATTAAGTCTTCTATCAATCACATCCTTTCCAGCATCCTGATCATCGGACCTCACATTATCATTCCTCTCCTGTTGGTGACCAGATTTAAAATCTTCAACAGGGGGAGTGTTTACAGCATCATGCTCAGAGGCTTTACTTATCCTTTGGAACATATGTAAATCCACTGGCCCTTCAAATGGCTTTTTGAAATTTACATTTCCCTGCTTGGATATTTCATTCTCAGATAAAGGTACATGCCATGGACTAAGAGGCCCACCTTTGTGAGACAGATTACTAATACCAAGTCCCATGGTGTTTGATGTTTCCTTCTCCTTCATTCTTGCCATACCAGAGTCAACGGGATCGACTGCATGACCACTTTCATTTCCACTACGACTGGCTCGTGAACTTGAATCCCCAACTTCAAGCCCACTAGCCAAGCCTAGACGAGATGACTTCAAAACATTAATGTCCAGACCATGCTGAGCAATAACAGTTTCCATAGCCCTGTAAAATATATCTTTTGAACGAAATAAGTACATATAAGAATTTTATTTTAAAAAAAAAAGAAATCTACATGACTGTTAAATGAAAATTTAGGACATCTTATTCAAAGTTTTTTATCACAGCAAATCTTTCAATCTCCCATACCATCTGTGACGTCCTAATACAAGTAAATCACTTCAAAAGATAGCTAAGGAGTTCATTTTTCGTTCCCCTAATCTTGACCACTGTAATTAACAATACTAAAAAAATAGATATAGTGTTGTATATCACCTGGATATGACTTGATAAGGCAAGGAATGCTCCTTCCCACTTATTTTCATATGTTGGCATATCTGTGATGTTCCAAGAAAGAGAAACTATCAAATGCAGTTCTCCCTGAATTATAAGCTAAAGAGTATGGAAACCATTTGACACATACCACATAAAGTTTTGTTGCTAATTTGGCTGGCTCATCCGTCGACTCGCGTATCAACTTGTGAAGGAAGTTAGCAGCCTCTACCTCAACTTGAGGAGATGATGCCATCCTGGAAAAGAGAACTGCAGAGTGATGAAACAGAGGGTAAGAAAAAGGACATAGGTGGCATTCAAGTTCATCACAACGAAATCCAGTGACAAAAAGGCAATTAGCTGGGAGATATTCACCAAAGTGTAAAACAGTGTACCTATAACAATTTGAAAATTATGATGGATTTATGTATTGCATCGTAAAATTTCAGCAGTGATTTCATCTCCATACACCCTTGAAGAATCCCACCTTCACCTCCAGAAATGGATTCATCAAAATCAATAGCTGCATCCAAAGCCTGAAATTACAAACTACAGCAAAGCAATACTTTGGAAATCATTCTGGCAAACACATTCCAATTAATTGATTAAAATTTTCATTGAATCATATAGGTATGTGTATCTCAGAATGGGCACCCAATTATATCATAATGAATCACATAAGCATGTCTATAAAGGTTAAGCTTCTCGTAATCAAAGACATAATTGACAAACATACCATGGGTCGTTCTAGTAAAGAGCTTACCTGGTCAGCACTGTCAACATCATTTTCTATAAAATCAATATGCTAAATTCCATAACCAAGGACATAATGTTCAAAATCTAACAATGAGCAGTACAGGTCACAAATCATTCTTGAGAAATACAGCAAGGAAACCAATGATGGTGCATTATTTAAAGAGACAACCTACAAGAGAAGGCATTCATGCAGAAAGATTTCCACTCATATAAGTATATGCTTAATGCACTTGAGCGCAATCACAAGTTTGATTGTATTCCAGATCATATTCTTTCTAAAAGATAGGGTGTTCTTAAGAAAACTCAGAGTGCTAACATGAATTTCAGTTGCAACTGACGAGGACTTAAAATTTGTGGCTACAAAATAAGGTCCATATTAAATGTGGAACAAGTTCTAATTAGCTGGTAATAAAAACCTGCCATAATGTAGCATACCTTTTTTAAGATGGTTCAAAGTATACCATATTTTTAAGCATAAGTTATTTGTTCATATATGCAAACTTTGGTCTTTTGGTGCTCATTAAATTTTTGGTGTTAATGTGTCAATGTTTTATCACAAACTAGTGAAATGGGATTTTTCATGCATTCTTGTTCACTGTGTGAAAGGAGGCTAAAGAAGTCATCATCAGCTTCTTTTTTTCTAAATAAGTCATCATCATCTCATTTGAACATTTTCAAGTGTGAAGAGGGAACATGCAATCAACCAAATTGGTAGCAACTATAAGTTAGGAGTCTTCTCTTTCATCAAGACACCCAATTAAGAATTCATCTATCAACCACTAGCTGCTTTATCTCTCAGAAAACCTCTTCACCTTCCCTTTTGCGGCATAGGAGATAACCATATGGTCCCCTCCTCTACTTTCCCTACATGATTTTAGCATACTGCATACAGAATGTTATGGTCCATAAATTTTCCCCACCCCACCAAAAAAAAAATATATATATATATATATATATTATGGCCTTACAAAGTAACAGAGTGTAAATGGGAAATAAAAGGCTTTGAAAGCAAAACAAAAATGCATTAGAAATTGTCAAAAATGGACACATGCACGATATAAATTAAACTAATGCATTGCTACAAAACCAGCCTCTAACATGCTTAACACTACAAGTTTCAGCCATAGCTAAAGATCACAATTTTGATAAATATCTTTGTCAAGTGAAGTCATTACTCACGAAAATGAACAAACCTGATTTCTCATTTTCGTAGCATATGAAACGGAAAACATGCATAAACCACGTTCATAGAGTATTTCGCATGATTCTTCACAGCTGAGAGAAAATAACTAAATAACCTAATAAATTTAACATAATTCAAAACCACCATTTGTGATATTCGAGATTCTCACTAGAAAAAATAAGAATAAGAAACACAAAATTACTTCATATTATGAGGCCTGGGTAACCGAACCAAAAACTCAGATGAGATAAAAAGCATCAATCCGCTGGAATTCGGCAGGGCATCCATTCAAGCACCGAAGCGATGATAATATGAATCGAAAAACCGCAAACTTTACCCAAAATTAAGAGTACATAAAGCTTTACAACAGAACTTACTTGTAAAACCTAAATCTAACAGAGCATATGAATTCATTTATTGATAAAAGAAAAGGCTTCATATGAAGGAGGATCGTACCTGTGAATTTAGGGCCTTTTCTGGTCTAACCCAAACGATTTAGGCCATGAAAAGAAGCTGCGTTTCTTTTAGTATTACTCCATTTACTGCGATATACAGCGCCTCTTATTATTAGAGGCCTGTCTTTTGTTTTTCTCCTTTCTCTTTCTGTCCTTTTATAATGGGGAAGTGGTATATTTTGTGGCAGGCACAATATGCTCATCTGGTGATCACCGTCCATCAGTGAATTGGACGGTAAGACATAATACATCCCTGAACACCTAGATTAAATGTCATTTTATTGGGACCGACATTCTGACCTTTGCCGTTCAAACTTGTTATGTGACGGTGATGGATCCCTACTTTGATCATATTGGCGGTAGGGCGTAGTTATATTTCACTTTCCAATATAGAAATCACCATAAGATTGTAAAAAATTACTACTGGCCCAAATAATCTATTATTAGAAGGATTTTGTGAGTTTGATTCATTTATTACAAGTCACTATGAGATTTATGATCTATATCATGGTAAACATTAATATTAAAAATAATAATTTCAACAAATAATAATAATATCTTTGGAAAAAGTACGTATATATCCGTTATAGTTTCCGTTATTACCAAAATATCAAATAGTTTCCATTATTACTGGAATGTCCATTTTTTCACTTCATAACAAAAAAAATTAAAAAATATTGTTTTACCCTTTTTCGGTTGTTTTCGATGGATTTTCGATTGTTCAAAAACCGAAAATAAACTAATTTCGGTCTTTGAACAACCAAAAAATCGCGGGACTCGTTTAAACTTCTGGTTCAACACTTTGGTGCTCCAGCTTCACTTTGGCACTCCACCTTCTCTGCTCTGTGATTTTTTTCTCTCTCTCTCTCTTACCTCTCTCACAATAAAACCTATTGTTTAGATTTGGTTACAAGGTTTTTGATGGATTATTACTGCATTAGACGGATTTTGAAAGCATTTGACGGATATAAAATATGTAGCGAAGGTATGCATATAACGATTTGTTGTTCGATTTTAGAAGTTTACGTTGCATAAGATTATGATTTAGGGTTTCACACTTGAATATAAGAGGTCGATTTAAGGTTTATGTGAGGGATTTCACAGATCTATGAGTACGACAATTTGTTTGAGTCATATTTTAAGAAGTGTAAATTTTTGGGGTTTTTAAGAATTGTAAATTTGGGGTTTTGTTTAGAACTTTAAATTTATACATGAGTTTTTGAGTTAATTTTGTTTTTTAGCTGCCAACTTTAGTGTATTTGGAACAAGAAAATTATGTGGATTGATAAAATTACATTTTTTTGTTGAAAATTATGTGGTTTTTTTATATGTAGTTCTCAGTATTTTCTGGTAAAAAATAGCAATAAGACTCTGATTTTGCTTGTGTTTCAATTTTGGTGATGGGTACTTTTAGTTGGAAGTGGGGGTTTGTAGTTTGTACCATTAGGTGCACAATAGTGACTGCCCATTTCAATTTTTCCTCTTTGCAATGAAGGATACATGATAGATAACACCTTGAGAATTGTTTGGATCCATTGAGAGCTCTTATGGTGTAGTGTTCTCAAGAGAGATTTATAATATTGATTCTTTTGCCATGCAATAATCATTAATTGTCAAACCTTGTGTCATTTTGCCATGCAAGAATCATTTTTGCTCATTTATGCTAATTTGCTGTAATTGGAGCTCATAAGTGACTATGTGCTACAGTGAATATTCGATCTACATTGAATATGTGCTAGAAGTGGTGAATATTGTCGAAGTTTACATTGATATTCTTAAATGTCAAAAGTGTATTGATTTATTCTATATTTTTTTATGGCTAATTTGGCCTTACCAAGTATGAGCATCAAATTACTATTTATATTTGCGAGAGGCAAAATATTGTATGATGCTTTGAAGTGCAAAAACTAAAACTTACCAAGCACGGTTGTGCAATGACTATCCAACAAAGAGAAACAACTGACTTCGAAAGAATGATGATAAATTTGGTTGTATAGTGTATGAAAAAAAACTTAAATTCATATCTTACATTTTATTGTTAACTTTGATAGAGTGTTATCTTAATAAAGAGCTGATTTAATTTGTTGATAGATTGAGCAGCTTAAAAATGGAGATTTGTATCTAAATTATGATGCATGTATTGAACATTTTGCAAATGCTTGGGGTTTCAATGAAAATGAATCGTGTCCATCCAGATTAGGGACATTCATCCTATTTCATATGGGAAGGACAGGTATATGCATATATTCATCTGTCTTTTCCATTAGTTTATTATTTTTCAATAAATTGTAGTCTAATTTAAATATCATATGGGAAGTACATGTATATATGTTGGGACTCATAAGTTGTCTATCTGTTGTATTCCATGAAAAACAATAAATTATAATCGATAAAAAGACTTTTCAATTAAAAGATTGGCATCTAAACGATGAGCAAGTTTAATTAGTGAACGCTTCTGAGTTGGGTGCTCTATTTATTATCCAGCCAGGTCACATTGATCATCCTTTGGTCACAGCCAATGCAGAGAGTTGGCGTTATAAGACCAATTCATTTTATTACAACATTCAAATTGATGAGATGACACCTGTATCGTTTGATGTTTACGAGAAATTGGGACTGGTTGTGGGTGGCGACCCTATTATATGTTGTCCTATTAGTGACCTCCGAGAGTTCATAAAAAACAATTTGGTTATAGTCTCTACTGAAGGTAACTTGACAGTTATCAAGCACTCATAATTGAAGGCCAAGTTTCATATATTGCCACATGATGCAACCCATATGCAAGTTGTTAGATATACCCGAGCCTACATTCTTTACCTCATCAACATCACCATTTTCGTAAATTCATCGGTTGCAACAATGCCAACGAGGTACTTACAATTCTTTGAGGATATTGAAGAAGCCGGCAAATATACTTGGGGTGCTACAACCCTCGCATATCTTTATCGTTCCCTTTAAAAAGCTTGTGCTTTCAAGCGAAGACATTTTAGTAGTTCAACCACTCTTATGCATGTAAATTATATTTTTGTATCTGATATAAGCATAATAGTTTAGACTATTTTCAAAAAAAATATTACTTGTCATATTTCGATATAATGCAGTGTCGGTCTTATGAACATGTTATGTATATGAGGCCCATACAACATAGTATCTCTCCAAATATGCATAAAGCAAAAAGATGAGAGCCACTAAAGAATTATTATGGCAATCCATATAACCTGATGCCTCCCATTAGACAAGAATTCGATAACCTCCAACCTAATGAGGTTAGTGTGTACTTTGGTATTACAATATTTATCATTGATTAATTTTAATTGTATTTAAGTATTTGTAGTTATTTATTGACTGATTATCTTATGTTTGATTTCATAATAGGTAATATATAATCCCTATTTCAAGCTTGATGTGGCCATTTCAGATGATAGGTGGCAGGCATTTGAAACCACAATGTGATTAACGACCCTGATATTTGATGATATTATCGAGCCGTATACGTCAGATCGTGTGTGCCTGTAGTTTGGAGCAAAACATGGCATTCTAAAAAATCTCATATATGTTGGTAAGAGGTCTAGTAGACAAGGTGGGCAGCGAGATTAGAGAAATATAATTTCTAAAAAGATCCATCATTGGTTGACTCGACATGAGCACATGATACCAGGCATTGAAGTGGATACTGCCAATGGGTTGCCCTTAGACGAGTACAATGCCTGGTACAATTGAGTGTCCCATCCATTTATTCACAATGTCACTAATCCACCAAAAGACATATTACAACCTATTAACCAGGAAGAATAATAAGTTGTTCCTGCACATGAACCACAATATATAATGAGACCTTGAAGTTATGATGACTAGTTGGTATGTTTATATTGACGTAAAAATTGTTTTAATTTTATACTTAACTATTAGCTCCATGAAATTGTTTAAATATTATAATTACCTATCTCATTTTTGCAGGTTAGTGCATTTTAGGCGAGTACAATCATGGTAGCTGAGGCACTTGCACTTAGACATAAATGGTATCCTGAAGTTTATAATCGCGTTAACAACGCGTTTGAAATAATGTCTAAGTTTGTGCTTGTGGACATGGATGATATAGAAGCCAGGATGGAATTTTACGACGTCAAGTTAATGACAAAGCTGCACATGATGAGCCCAGACAAGAAGTAGTGGGTGAAAGTAATCAGGCTATAGAAGACCTGGCTCCATCCACACAACCTGCAGTTGAGGAGTCCAAAAGGCATGATATGCGAAAGAAGCAGTACAGCCCAAGAGAAGGTGATCGTTGTAATGTAATGGTTTTTTTGGCAACCTGCAGTCTTTTTGGTAATGTTATTATTATTATTTTAACTGTTGTAATGTTATCATATTGTAATAAACTCTCGAGCAATGTAATGGTCTTTTTGGCAATATTTGAGTGTTTTGAGTTTGTATACATGCATTTTAATTTTTTTATTTGTTTAATTAGGCTTAGATGATTATGATGAACTCAACTATAAAAACTACTTATTTTACAGAATTAACATGAACCTAAAATAAAACTGAACTCAACTATAAAGACTACTTATTTTATAGAATTAACATGAACCTAAACTAAAACTGAACTCAACTATAAGCCTACTGAACTTGTGGTTTTATAAAGAAAGAAAAAGAAAAGAAAGAGGAATGAGATGAATTGTATCAATATTTCGATTTTTTTTGTAGTGTATATATATATGGGAAGGGAAGTAACGGATTGGTAACTCAGAATTTGGAGGAAAAATAAAGAGTCTTTTCAGCATTTCTTGATTTCATCAGTAGTCTTTTTGATTGTTCAACAACCAAAAATATCATTGTGCAACGCAAATAATCCAGCTAGTTCTCAATTGTCAGTTAGAGTATAATTTTTAATATATTACAGAGATACACACACATGTATAAGTGTAATTTATATATTAGTAGTTTTGTAACAACTAGGCAATGAAATCTTGATAGAAAGATAAATAAATAAATAAAGTAAGTTTGTAATCCTAATCTCACTAGTCATTATCCTATTAAGATAAAGTAAATTTGTAATCCTAATCTCACCAGTCATTATCCTATTAAGATCAATTTCTCTTAAAATAGAATCAA